ACTATCTCATTTGTACTGAAACTGCTATTTTCACATGCTGGAACAAAAATTAACAAAAGACAAAATTTATTAAAAATACAGACTTGGATATAGGAAAGCCAAGTTATGTTGTACATAACAAGATCAAAACCATTGACATTATTGATATAACAAATCTCAACTGCATCAGGATGCTACTAAAAGTAGAGTTTGAAAAGTTAAACAAACAAGCACTGCTATTGGTTTTGTGTAATGTTTGTCTTTGAAGAGAGGCTTAGAAGAAGTGCATATTTGATTGTGGAACAGTAATGTTTGACAAAGAATTATTTGATGATTGAAATATATACATAACAGTAGTTATTAACACATCATTGGCAACATTTATTTTATTAGTTAAAATTAGGAAATCAGATGAATTATTGACTTTTTCTCAATACTAAATGAGAACAGGGAGTGTGTCACATTTAATTGTATTGTCTTCAGTGTTTTCGTTCATTGAATGATACCTATGAATGTGTTAATTACCCATTTAAAAAAAAAATACCATAATATATATCATATTACCATTTTAACGTCAAGAAATCACTAACTATTAATTACAACGGATTTCTTAGTTTCACCTAATAAATCATTTTGGTATTTACATCAATTGGAGGCAGTTGGTATTTTTTAATTTCTTCAAAATGGTCATTCACCAAAATGTTTTTTCAACGAAACATCATGCCTGACAAAATGCTACCTCTAAAACAATATATTTATGATGCCTTTCTGAGAACAAGTGACAAATATATTATACATACCCATCTATCAATGTCTGAATCAAAGCCCCTCCAGTAATAACGAGTCTTTATTTTGTGTTTGGTTTTTTTGCGGCCTACATGTGCCCCTTGAGGAGAGTCATGGCACTCTTTGAAGACTTGCTCCTTTTCCTCATCTGTGAATAACACTCTGCGTCTTTCAACTTTTTTTGGCCCAACATAATACAAGGCATCTTCTTTATAATAAAACAAAATATTAGTCTAGAGTTACAGCAGCAGGTAAAAAAAAAGTTTTAAACTTTAAACCCAGCAGTGTATTTTTAATGATAATTCATTCATATGTAAATGCAGGAACAGACAGAAACAATAGCATACAGGAAGTTCACCATCAGTGTTTCGATCGTTCACTTTGCTTGATAAATCATGATTTGAATTCTCACTCAGTAAATAGTACTGAAAACAGGAGCATTAAAAAAAACATGGTTACATTACATTGAGTAGCTGCAACACGTCCTCACATATGCATATTGCCAAGGGAAAAATTTTCGACAACCTGTGCCACATTTGTGCTGTAAGGAAATTTGATGTCAGGATATATGGAACAACTTACCTTCTAGTTTGAAAGACTGGCAAAACTTTCTCAATGCTTTTTTCTTTCCAATATCAGTTATACTTGGTGGGTACTCCAACGTTGAAAGGAAACACCTTACGTCTAATACAGTAAAAGATAACTTCATAATTTAAGTGGTAACTTGTCAGTGGCAGTAATTAGTATATGATGTTGACACCACGGAGACAGGAAACAAAATGTCTCAGAGTTGGAAGGAATGAACACACACACAAACAGTCACTACAGTGAACAGTGCCCTCTATATTCAGCACATGCACTTGACTAAGCACATTTCTGAAAAATTTACTTTCAAAATTGATTTGAATTAGAAATGGCTATTATGAATGCTATTAAAATTTACCTAAAATACAAGACCACAGATACTGACATGAAATGAACACATTTGGGAATAAACCCTCCTTAATATATTGCTCTCAGAAAGAAGATGAAAATATATGGACAGACTGCTGACACCAGGCAATTCAGTAATATGAACAGTTCCACCCATTTTTTTATGAAAGCAGAGCTAAAATTTATAATTATTTTTCAAACCTAAATTTTGTACATTATTTTTAGTGTGTTCATGGGTTGGCTAATTTGAAAAATCCCTTGATGACATTTCTAAAATATCTGTATCACGCCAACGGTTGACAGGTGGTTATAGCATACAGGTTACACATGGATTGGTTGCACACTGGAGAATGGAGTGCACTTAATATTCAAAAACAAAAGTTGAAAAAATGGTGACTGTACCAGTTGTTACTGAGGAAAACACATTTTCAAACTGCCCTAATAATAATACATGCTAGGAACAAAATTTAAAGACCATTTACT